AGAGTGTCTGCTTTGACTCTGAGGTCTTTGATCCATTTAGAGTTGATTCTGGTGCAGGGTGATATATAAGGATCTAGCTTTAGTTTTCTACAAGTGATTAACCAATTGTGCCAGCACCATTTACTGAAGAGGCTGTCTTTCTTCCATTCTTTTTTTCAGGTAAGGGGTAGGTTATTTATCATTCTGGCCATGTTGGCCCTCCACGCACCCGGGAAAGGCCTGGGAAAGAGAGCTGGGAGAGAGAGAGAGCTGGGAAAGAGAGCTGGGAAAGAGTGAGAAAAGAGCTAGAAAAGAGAAGAGAGAGCTGGGAAAGAGAGGTGGGAAAGAGATCTGGGAAAGAGATCTGGGAAAGAGAGAGAGCTGGGAAAGAGATAGCTGGGAAAGAGAAGAGAGTTGAGAAGGAAAGAGCTGAGAAAAAAAGAGCATCTGGGCCTGGGCTAGGCCTTATCTAGGGTATGGGCAGAGAAAGGTGTGGCCACATCAAATTCAGATGTGACCTCAGCGGATGCAGATGTGACCTCTTCTAGGTGTGCCAGTTGCCTAGGTAATGCAGGTACTGGGTGGAGACGTTGCTGCGAGGAGGGTGGAGTCTGCTCGCCATCCAGGAGTGGACCTAACATTCCAGCCTTTTAATAATCATGAAATAGGGTGCAGATTCTCTCTGGCTACTTCCTGCTGACAAGGGGCATTGACATTAGTGGTAAAAGGCTGGAATTTGGTCCCCTCCCAGAAAAGGCAGCAAGCAGCAGCTGTCCCTTGGTGGTGTGAGTCCTTAGATGAAGTCTGGAGAAGTCTCAAGAGGCATTGAGGGGCTGGAAAAAAAATACTAGAGAACAAATAAATGGCAAGAGGAAGGACTTGGGGCTGAAAATGTTGGTAGAAATGTCCCTAGCTACTTCTGACATCTGGCGACTAGGTAGAGAAGTCAGGTGACAAAGGCAAGAATATAAATTCCTGTTCAGTTAATAGGTAGACAGGTATAGACATTGGATGGGCAGGCTTCTTACTTCTACTGACCTCCCGGCTCTGGTTAATTTTGAAAGGGCAGGCACAAAGTAGCTGATATGACATCTCCTCTTACTCCTCTCCATGTTCCCTTGTTCCCCAGACTGGCTGAGTCTAGGTGCTCGTTGCTGGGATAGCTTGTCCCAGTTGGTATTCAAGGTTTGAACTCAAGGCCTGGGTACTATCCCTGAGCACTTCTGCTCTGATGCAACAATGAGAAGTACAAGTTGTCATGTCCAAAACGAGCTTTACAACGTCGGTGCGGGGGTGAGGGGGAAGGGGTGGGGGGGAAGGGGGAAGGAGAAGGATTGGGATGGGGGGGAGGGGGGAGGCTGGGAAGGGATGGGAAGGGTAAACAAAGGAGGAGGCTGCAATGCTTGGTAAGA